CAGTGTTGACTACAATGATAGAACTGAAAGAGAAAATTTAAGATTAACCACATGGGAAAAGTGTTGATTTGATAATCCCTTGTATCTGAAATCCCCCTGCAGAGTGTTTTGTGATCATAAATGCACAACTGATCGGAAATGATAGTTATGTCAGGACACGATCACTGTGGGGACTTTGGCAACACTGGCCGCAGCTGCCATTTCAAATCCTTCTGGATCAAAGGTAATTAAATCAAGGTCCGTGGCCAAGCCTTAGGAAATCCTAAACTGAAATAGCAAGCACACATTTCAGAGTAGTTGCCTCTTTCAGGGGCTCCTAGTTTTCATCAAATTCTCAAAGGTGTCCATGATGTCCATGACCTTCCCCAGAAGGTTGCAAGGAATGGCATATAACCATCTGCCACTTGTTTTCAAGAAGCTCTTTCAAATACATTAACAAATATAAGTGAAAATTACTCAGCAAGAAACATTTATATCAAAACAAATAAAACTAGCATCAAGTTTTTTCCGTGTACCATGAAACTTGTAAAACATATCATAATTTAAAAATAACAATAAAGCTTAAGTGTATGTTTTGAACAGACCTCTGAAAGGCATCAAGGAAATTATGTTAGCACATTATTGAGCAAATCAGAAGAAAAAATAACATTCTCTTTCTCAAACTTAGATAAGACTCTTTTAGGCAACTAAAATGATTTCTCAGTGTCCAGATGTCTGGTAATATTATTTCTCCAGCCAGATAATTAAGTGGAAGCCTGTTTTCCATTCTTATGTTATGTCTTATGAGTAGAACCCCCAGGGATCCAGCCTCCTCTCCACATTGGGGAGGTATGTGATTGAGGGCTCAATTTGGGCATTCTCCATCCTCTAGACATATACCAACAAAATCCCTAACATATTTAAGATAATTACATGAAAGGTCACCCAACTGATTCCTTCCCATGGGCGGGATGTGAGAAATATAGTAGCAGCAGGTCTTACTTGACAGATTCTATTAACCTCTCTGTTTCCCCTAAGTCACCAAAGGATTAATTCTGAAACTCTAAATAAAATTCAGAGATCTTGATGGGCACTGACACAGAAGCACTACATATTTCACTGCCTCTAAGGTTTAATTAGCTACTAGGTTGTGTAATATATGTAACATCTGACATTGGGGATGGAATAGACTTCAGCCGAATTTGGACCAACTCTCAGAGACTCGAGTTAGGCCCACCACCCACCTGGTAGCAAACTCCCCTGAGCTCCCTGCAGTCCAAGGCAGAAGCTCCCCACTGGGCCGTGCAAGAGTTTACAGGCATAATGGCACGTGGGACCACACTAAAGCAATATGCACTTTCAAAAGTAAAATCTTTAATGGCTGATGAGAAACATCACTCACATGGAATTTAAGAGGTAAATGCATTGTGTAAATGCCAGCCATGTGCTATCTGGAATGGAAAGATTAATCGAATAGAAAGTAAACACATACTGCCTTCTGAGAGAGAAGAGGGCCAGTGTCAAGGCTGTCTGAGTTATTCCTAACCCTGTACCTTTTGTTGTGTACAATTGAAGTTCTGGAATATTTTAGAACATTTGCTGCTTTTAAAAGAGGTCTTTTCACTCTGGTAAATCACATTAAAAGCCAGAGACCACAAATTTATTTCAAGTTCAATATTTTGGTTTTCAAAATTACAAATTTAATTGCAAACATTTTTCCATGACTCCAAGATGGAGATACATGTCACATTGCTAAGAACTCTTTAGTTCCCAATATTGTCAGGTACGAATTTTGTAGTTTAATCAAGCAAATGGCAATATTGCCCAATTTAAAAAAAAAAAAAAAAAAAGCTGCTTGACAACTGGAGGAAGATGTTTTAGTCAGAATACACATGTAGCACAGCAGATAATGCTTCAGAAAGGGAGGCCAAGCCTAAGCCCTCTTTTTCCCAAGAAACTTTCCCTCTGAATCTCCACCCCCACTTCCTTAGGGGCCTGGGCTGGGGCTGGAGCTCAGACATTTCCCAGACAATGCTCTGTTGCTGGACCCAAGACACAGACAAGCAGAGAACTGGGAGAGACTCAGGTCCCACCACACGTTTTATGAATTACAGTGCCTGGGAGGCATCAGCTTTAAGGAGAGGCAAAGGCAGAGATAAAGAAAATGTGCAGAAAGTACATAAAGATAAATGCTTGTAAAATCACTGCTGGTTTAATGCATTCCACATTGAAGAAATAACAATCTGAATATTCTTGATGATTTAAAGGCAAGAGTGTCCAGCTAAGATCTGTTTGTCCAATTAGACCATTAAGTTGTTTATATGTAAATGTTTGTAGGAGCTTGTCCTGATTTTCAGTTACAGTTCTGGAGGGGAGGGGGCTGGTTTAGCATAGAAAAAAATCCCATCTACATGTGAAGCACATCACTTTCTTTCCTGCATGCTAATACAGAGGTAGATCTCTTGTGGCCCAGCAGCAATGCCTGCTCAGAAAGGCTCTCTACTGGCTGCATGACTGCTAGTGCTGTGGTACTAGCTCCTTTCTTCTGGCCCATTAAGGGAAGGGATTGTACTCAATGGCTCATCTGTCAGCCCTGGGTTCAAATCCCCCACTTGATTCTTATGAGCTCTGCAACATGGAGGAAGTTACTTAATCTGTATAAATCATAGTTTCTCATCTGTAAAAGGACAATAATGATAGTTTCTGTATTGTGGGTAAGACTAAAAGGTATGCAGTATTGCAAATCAAGTGCTTAGCAGAGTACCTGGCATACTGTGAGCATAGACTATACATACCTTGGTATTACAAATAAAACTAATATAATTATCAGTATTTTTTTCTAGGGCATCCTCCACATAGTTCACAGCCTCTCAGAGAAGTGGACTAGGAATCAGGAAACTCACATTACAGTTTCACATCTTTCTGACCATAGGCCCAATCTCAGGAAGGTCATTCAACTTTTTAAGATCTTAGTTTAGTTTCCTAATCAATGAAAGAGACATGATCATAACTTTCCTGTGATCTCATGCCAGTTTTTTAAGAAAAATTTTGGTCTTAAAACATAGTTCCAAAATAGTCATGTAGATCCACCTATAAAATCACAGTGCCCCCCGCTTTTTAAGAACCAGCAGGCTAGCAGAACATTCTTACATTTTAAAATTAAAACAAAGCCCTTTCAGGATTCTAATTTGGCCAGTTACCTCAGAAAAAAAGAAATCCTTGACTTTATTGCTAAAATCGGTCACATTGAATAAAAATCAATTTATCAGCAAACTAATGCTAAGATTATGAAGAGAAATATTAATTTAGTTTGAATGTACCAAATACTATACTTGAAAATGTTGTAATTTTACTGGAAATTAAACTGTTTGTTTAATACAGAGACAATTAATGTTGAGATTTTTGTTTGTTTGTTTTCTTAGACAGAGAGTTCTTGATCTATGGCCCATGCTGGAGTGCAGGGGCTCAGAGTTTACTGCAGCCTTGACCTCCTGGACTCAAGTGATCCTCCTGTCTCAGCCTTCTGAGGAGCTGGGACCACAGGCACCCACCACCACACCTGGCTAATTACTGTAGTTGTAGATACAAGGTATCCCTATGTTGACCAGGCTGGCCTCAAACTCCTAGGTTCAAGCCATCCTCCCACCTTGGCCTCCCAAGATACTGGGATTATAAGACTGAGCCACCACATCTGGCCTTGAAAATTTATTTGTTTCAGCATTTGACTGTTCTTAATAACATACGTGTCCCACCTTACCTGGGTACCGATTGCTTGTGAAGCATGATTTGAATAGGTTGTTAGTGATTCACTGACTTTAACAAGATTCATGGCCATAAAAGGATAAGGATGGAAGATTGCTCGAGTCCAAGAACTGGAGACCAGCCTAGGCAAAACAGTGAGACACGATCTCTACAAAATATTTTTTTTAATTAGCTGGGTGTGATAGTGTGTACCTGTGGTCCCAGCTACTCAAGGGACTGAGGCAGAAGGATCACCTGAGCCCAGAGGTTTGAGGCTGCAGTGAGCCATGACCACACCACTGCACTCCAACCTGTATAGCTGGCAAAAAGTAGAGGTGAAATTTGAACCCAGGTCTTTCTGTCACTGAAGCCCATGATCTTTCCACAAGATGATAGAGAGCTACTCTATGTACATCTTGAAGTCCTTTAGGGCCTCACAAGTGCTCGACCAAAGCTTGTCAATATTCACAGGTTTATTCAAAATGTGGTGATTTCTACCATATGGACTGCATCTGGGAAACACAAATTCTGCCTTACTGCTGAACCAATAAGAAATCTGCAGAGGTTATGGAGCTATGTAAGATTTTTCAGAAAGTTCTTTCCTTACATGAAGTATAGGAAAAAGCATTGACAGTAAGCTTAGTTTTAGAGTCTACACTATACATAAATATAATATAGATATGATTTATCTGAAAAACTAAATATTCTGATACAACACTCCCTGTTTTTACACAGAATTTGCTATCATGTAGGACCCATTCAAGTATATGTATTTTAAAAGGTCCTCTTAAGAGATAAACCTCCAGGAAGGATTTGTTGTGGTGTGCCAAAAGATATCCAAAGGATATGAGTGCCTTCCTTCTTCCCCTGTCTGGAATGAAGAATTCCCAACTATATTCTTCGGTTTTTGTTGTTATTGTTTGCTCAAGACAAAACTAAACCACAAATATTTATCTGTGATGGAAAAGAACTGAGGTTCTGGGTAGTCAAAGCCCCAGTTTCTTACACACTTCCCTGGAAAAATGCTAGATCACGGACATCACTCAAGAAAGTTGACCACTATTTTCTTCAACACCGAAGAAGTTTATAATCCCTCAGAGGATAAGCCAATTGCATTCTTAGCATTCCACAGAAATGCCATCTTTCACAGGCCATGTTCCTCACTCACGACTTAGACTTGTAATATGAATGTACAGTCCAAAGCCACCACAACCGGAGATGGGCACCCACACAGTCCGTGTTCTCTCGCTGTCAACAATTTACATGACTGCAAAATTTACCTCTCCAGTTCGGCAATCTTCTTGTCTTTGTCATTCTTCTCATTTTCCACTTCCTTGAGAATCTCCAGCAACCGGTCCACTTCCGCTTGGGCCTTGCCACACTCATCACGGTAGTAAGACGCCTCTTTATCGAGCTGTTTTATTCGGTCTGCGAACTCAGGGTTCATCCTGGAGTCATCTTCAATATTATGTGCCTTCAACATTACATTTTTAAAGAATGCAATTAAGACAACAATTTAGAACAATAGATAGTGCAGTCACCAATGGCCCAGAAATTAACTTTGGAGAGAAAATGACCACCAAATATTTATGGGTATATTGTCAGTGAAGAGGCAAAATAGAAAAATCACACATTTCAGCTACCTTAGAACAATGTTGATTTTAAAATAATATGACGGTGTCACAGGGGAGTTTCTTTGATTATTGATATTTTGTTCCATTAAATGTTGCTACTTTTAGATTTTCTTTCCACCAAAAAGTGGGGTTAGAGACTATGATGTCTTTATTCCTGGTCATTAGGCCAGCAGAACTAAGACAATTCAACTCCTCACAGTTAAAGAGGTGATTCATACAAAATGCTTCCATTTCCAATACAAAGACACCGAAACAACACAATATTGGATCATTTTCCAAGAACTATCAAGGGCATATGTAAAGCCAGATAACATATAAGAGATTGATTGACCAATAATTGAACATTTCATCCCACAGAGAAATTTCAGGAGGAAATGTAGTTTGAAAGGAGGATTGGAGGTGAGGAAGGGCTTTCCAGCTAACAGTTATACCCATAAATTCTCATTCCCTTGAATAAATTTAACCTAAACCAGGAGGAGGATGAGCTAATTCATGAACAAGTACACAGACGAGAATCTGCAAACACATGCATGGGTGAGTGGCAGCTTCACACATGAGAAAAGACACAGGCAACAATACAGCAACAACATTGCAGAATAATTTGCAGCCAAAGTATTTGTGGGTTTGTGTGTGAGAATGCGTTACAGCTTTTTTTTTTTCCCAAAATAGACTTTTGGCTGAAATATTCCCAGACAGATAGAAATAACACTGCACTGCAATGTTTTGCCTACCCCTTGTTTCCCATTATTCCTAATTGACTTCTTCAAAGAGCAGGCAGGGAAAAAACAAGTCATTTAACAACAGTGCACATTCAACATAGAAAGTTTAGATAAGTCATATATGTATGTATCTCCAAAATCCATGGGTGATGTAGTCAAATTTTAACAATTTATAAGGACTTAAGTTATTCTGCTGTCTTGCTATGTGGAGCAGATATTCATTGTGTTTTTGTATCTTTTTTTGAAAATTTCAGGGAAAAAACAAGGCAAGCAAGCTACAGCTACTGTGGGACTGAATGAATCATGCATGGCTAAAAAATTAATACTAATACTACTGTTAGAAGGTTTGACAGTCTTTGCAATGATTTAGTAGAAAAAAATTCAAAAATTAGTATAAATAAAATAAATTCCATATGACAAAATAATCATTTTAGAAATAATATTTTTGCATGTAACATATTATTTAAGCATGAGGATAAAAGGGAAAATTTTGCTTTCATGTTCTTAAATCTAAGATTTCCTTATTTAAGAAATAAACTTAACTATACAAAAGAACTTGAGAAAAATACGTCAATTCAACAGACTACCAGATACTGGTTTATTCCCTGTTACCAATATTTCTCAGAAAACATTTATTTTCATTTATTTATTATGCACTCTGTGTTTCATTATAATACATTTTTAAACTTTTTCAGTACAATTAAAATAATCTGAAAGGGAATCCTGCACTAACATGCCTGTAGGAGTATATTCAACTAAGTAATTTCATTTTAAGCTTAAGTAATAAATACTTAAATTTCCTAATCTCCACTTTAAAAATGTAGAGCAGAAATCCTATTTTAAAAGGAAGTAACTACTCCATATACCTGCTTCTATTTGTGATAATATGAATTGTTACTTTTGTTACAGAAAAGCATTTAAAATATGCAGCTTTTAAATAGCTAAAGAATGAAAAGGCTTTGTGTTAACCTCTCTTTCATGGTAACCCTGTATTACCATTATTTTACAGCAGTTAAAAATCTTTTCATGACATTTCTTAAACTATCGAACCAGTGCTATTAAGATCTTTAAAAAGGAATTAATGAACTGAGTAATGAGCAGCTGGAAGCACTCAAAACAAATGAATAAATATATTTTGATTGCCTGTTTCTTATCAGAGTTAAAATTCCTTTCCTGATGCTGATTTTTAAAAATTCACAAATAGCTAGCAGTTAGCTGCTCTGGCTTATTTTGGTTCTTATTATTACTGTCCCTTTTTAATAAGTGAGTACAGGATTACCAGTTGCGAGACCAAGATTCTAAATCCAGTTCTGCATCTAATGTCTACAGGCAAATTAATTAGCCTAAAAATAGTGAAAACTACAAAATGATAAACATGGGGGCAGATATTATTCACTTGTGTTTTTATTATAATTATTATTTCATAATATGCATTCCAGAAACCTGGCTAATTCAGCTGAGTTAATAGGTTTATTTAATTTTCATTGACAAGATACCACATGTTTCTTTAAAAAAGCCTCCTGGATAGCTCTATAGAGAAAGCTTAGTCTGCTAGTCATAGATATGCACACATATTCCTTATTTTAGCTCCTTGAATAAAAGAGGATTATGCAAGGCCACTTTTCAACATTGGGTGAAATCAGATGAGTTTATAGTCTTTCAAACCAGTAAGTAAGTATGGTTAAAGGACTCATGGGATGTGTAGAGGCACAGAAAGCCTAGGAAAAAATGTGCCTGAAGCCAGACTGTGCCACTGTTGACCTCACATGCTGCTGAAGTTAGGTAATGTTATTAGAATGAAAACCAGAGCCAAGTTTACAGCTGGCCTGGTATCTATTGTTAATAGATCACACTTCAAGTGCTAATGAGACTTCCATTTAAAATGAATAGACAACCTTGGCTGGGCGCAGTGGCTCATGCCTATAATCCCAGCACTTTGGGAGGCCGAGGCAGGTGGAATATGAGGTCAAGAGATCGAGACCATCCTGGCCAATGCGGTGAAATTCCATCTCTACTAAAAATATAAAACTCAGCTGGGCATGGTGGTGCATCCCTGTAGTACCAGCTACTCAGGAGGCTGAGGCAGGTGAATCGCTTGAACCCAGGAAGTGGAGGTTTCAGTGAGCCAAGATCGTGCCACTGCACTCCAGCCTGGTGACAGAGTAAGACTCCATCTCAATAAATAAACAAACAAATAAATAAAATAAATAGACAACCTCAAGAATACTTGTGAGTTAAATATGTCTATCCCTCTATCAGTTTCTACTGATTTCCAAATAAAAGAACTTATGTCAAGCCACTTTCAATCTTGGTTCCAGAATTCTTGGAAGAGCTATTAAAATATCATTTAAAATATCTTTAAAGTAGTAGAAAGCTTTAAGAGAAAGTCATATAAAGATGAGAGAGGAACAGCTGCTTCTTGGATCATTACTAGGGTCCATGTAAAGACTCAGTGAAAAAGAGCGTTTCACGTGACTGGGAAGGCTGGTGAGTCCCCAGCTAAACTTAGGTATTAGAGGCAAAAGTCTCTAAAGAATTTACAAAAGATATTGTATATAACAAGCTCTATTCAGCCTGAGTCACAACTTGTCAGAGGATGGGTTGAAATTTTTAACCATTAACCAGCATGAATGTGTTCTACCATAATCTACAGACACGAGTGATTCTAGGCTAAATAAAATAGTGGAGGAAATTGAGCTTATTAAAGCCAATGCTTCCTTCAAAATTATAAGTCCTGAGCCTCTTCTAAAAATAGAATGAAAGAAGCACTTTATTTGTATTTAGGCAATATTCTTGCCTTTTCAAATCACAACATGAGTTCTTTAATCTGGACTGGCAACTTCTGATAGAGACCAAAAGTAGGTAACAGATTTGGATCTAACATACTTTAGACACTACAGTGAAAAAAAAATAGATTTGAATAAATCACAACCATGGCATTCTAATGCATTCAAGACATAAATTGAAAATGAACAGTCATATCTTTCCTTAAGAATCTGTTGGTTTACAATTAGCTCCCCAATAAGGTCCGGAAGGGCTTCCCATTCTATACTTCCAAGGAACATCAGCTTTGTCCTAGTATTTTCATTAGTCAGAAATTTACCTCTTAAAAACACAAATTGGTATAAGTTTTCTTTTGATGGTTTCAGACTTTATTTACCATGAATGAAGCAAGCTCATCATCACTTTCAAGGACATCCATGAGTCATTAAAACTAAAGGAATATCAATAACCATTCTTGGCTTAATATAGAGATTTAATTCCACTGATTAACCAGGTCAGTTTAATGACAAAAGCAGGTATCTGATTCAGCTCAAGAATATTTTCTAAAACATTTAGAGCAACTCTGAAGCATCTTAGAGAAACACAAAAAATTGGGAAAAGGACATTTCAGAAATGTCTGCATTACATATTACATCAGTAAGTTTTGAGGGACTCCCAATTATATTTCTTGTATTTCCATATGCAAGGAAATTTCCCCACAAATGGGAATAATCAAAACAAACTCTGGAGCCTCACAGATGTGGGCAGGCCTCTGGGTTTTGATGTGAACTGACTTTGAAAACCTAGATCAGGCATTAAGAGGACTCCGGCCATGGCTTGGGAAGAGCAGTACATTAACCTATAGTTATAATAACCTAGTAGTTATTTTAGTGAAAGTATTTATAAGAACTGCTTCAGAAAGGTAAAACTTCAGATTAATACTATATCTAAATGAAAGTTAAGAAGCCAAAAATGAAGCCGGGCGCGGTGGCTCACGCCTATAATCCCAGCACTTTGGGAGGCTGAGGCGGGTGGATAACAAGGTCAAGAGATCGAGACCATCCTGGTCAACAAGGTGAAACCCTGTCTCTACTAAAAATACAAAAATTAGCTGGGCATGGTGGTGCGTGCCTGTAGTCCCAGCTACTCGGTAGGCTGAGGCAGGAGAATTGCTTGAACCCAGGAGGCAGAAGTTAGTCTGGGTAACAACAGCGAAACTCCATCTCAAAAAAACAAAAAGAAGCCAAAAATGGCTAAAGTCAAACTATGGGGTTGTCGAGTATCAAAATCATACATTACAAGTTTATTTACACTTAATCTTATAAAGACTGGTCATTGATTATTTCCAATAAAATGGCAGCTCATCATTCCAGATCCCTAGAAAGGAAAGTATTAACTTTGGTCCAGAAACCTGCTGTGAAACAAGGCAGGGAACATTCAATATTACATTATATAACACTTTCCCTTTGAAATAGACCCCACCAATTTTAATTAAAAATCATTTTCTTCAAAATAAATAGTCATGACCATAAAATAAAAGCAGAATGTTAATGAATGTATCTGATTATTTTTCCTCCCTACTGTTTATGGATTGTAGCTATAATTTGCTAAGTTTAGGCAGTGTATAAATATGACTCTCGATTGTGGCATGTTGGTGATTTAATGTCCATTAACAGCACTTTAATATTCCTTTCATATCTCAACAGCAGAACAAGGTATAGGAACTATTTAAAAAATTATATTTGACTTAAGTCTTCTAAAAGAAGTTTCAATCTTCTCATAATTCTACATTATAAACAAAATATTACATATTAAAAGAAAATTTTAAGGTGATTATAGAGTTATAACATATTAGAAAATTAAATTTCATTTTAAATATGATGAATCAATACCAGGCATCATAGCTGAGCCTTAATAATACATTTGGAAACTAATAATGAGGTACTTTGAAATCTTATACATCTTACTTTTTTTTTTTTTTTTTTTTTTGTAGAGCTGGGGTTTGCTACGTTGCCCAGCCTGGTCTCCAACTTCTGAGCTCAAGTGATCCTCCAGCCTTGACCTCCCAAAGTGCTGGGATTACAGGCATGAGCCACCACACTCAGCCCTTATATGTCTTAGTTCTAAAGGAAATTATTCACAATTCAAGCTAACTGCATTCAGAATATTTACAAATTTACATATTAAAACAACCATACCAAACGAAAATTCTTTTCATAGATGGAACAAATAGGATATGTATAAGTAAATGTAAACAAGTATTCAAAATAATTATTATGTCTCTCTCTCTCTCTCTCCTCCCCCCCATATACACAGAGGAAACAACTGTATGCTTAATACTTTTAAAGATCCCCCAAAACAAAAATGTAATTATTAATGTAATGATTTTTAATTATGGGATTTACTAAAATTAGCAATGGAGAACTGAGGTAATTCACTAGATGTCCTCAAACAAATCATGTAGCTTCAAATGTTGAGTGTTAGTGCAAATAATACTTGAGTTTTTTAGACATTCAAAGCCTGAATCAATTATAGGGTGTGTGTTTGCATGTGTGCATGTGTTTACACATGCTATATGCATGCCTGGAATTATCTCTTAAATAGTGGTAAATTTCCACTGTGCTGAGAGATACTGGTTTAAGAGTGAATCAAATACTTTTCAGAAATATGTTTTAAAAATAATAAAAAGAAACTGCTATATCCAAACAATGACTGTTTAAGCATTTATAATTCAGCCTGTTATGTTCCTGGGACTGTCCAGTACTGTAATGACCTACAAATCAGGAAGACCTCATTGAACATTAACAAGACTTTTTTCTCTCTCTCTGGAATGAAAATATCTGCCTTTTGGCTTTTGTTCTGTTTTTTTGCAAACACTTATGTAAAATGTGAGCCCTGCAAAATATGTGTTCAGAAAAGACAGGATTTCAAATGGATAACTACTGGACTGGGGGGGTCACAAGTGTTGGGAACATCAGAGGGGTCTCAAATGTGCTCTGACCAATAGCAAGATTGCACCCAGTGCCTCCAAATCAGTCATTTGTCTCGTAGCAACAAGGGTATTAGATGAAGCACTAAATTGAGAGACCTAGAAGGTCTAGAGATTTATTAAAAATTTTTGAAAGACTCCTGACACCATCCCTGTATACAATAACCACAAGGGCTATAGCAAAGAAGGTATTTGAGACTGATGAAACACATACATTATTTGTTTAGAATTAAGAACCAAGGGAAGAAAGAGAACCCAACTGAAGATAACCTGCACAGAATTTATAATAAGACAAAAACTCCAGGAGCAGAATGATAGTTAAGCTACAGAATGGTTATAAGAAAAATTATGATGTGAAGGCAAAATTTTAGGTTCTAAGAAATGTCATTAGACATCACTGTTTTCAACAGAGGGACTAAAGTAAATGGAGATAAAAAGTAAAAGGTTCCTTTCTACTCTAGAAATAAAAATACTTGCAGGAGCACTTAAAAGTTTAATCCTTGTTTACTCTGATGTAGTATAGACTGTCAGACATAAAATTGACAATGAAATTATCTTATTTAACAAAAAACAACTATATTATAGTTCACCAAAAATTTGTTAGGTGATCATATAGAAAATAAACATACAAGAATAAAAGAAATTGCCTAGCTATCAATAACTGATTAGAAAATAAATAATAAATATATTATTCACCATAGCAACTTAAAAATTATGTATATAGAAATACTTAAGACTATCTTTAAGAAAAAATATCACAGGCCTGTATCAGGAACATTTGAAACTTTGCTGTACAGAAACCACTGGAATAAATAAAAGTTGGATCATGTTCATGAATGGAAAGAAATAATATTGGGAACATATCAATAATTCTAAAGTTATTTTATAGATTGAATATAATTAAAATTAAAATCAACAATTTTTCTTAATTGACAAACTGATCCTAAAGTTTACTTGGACTGATGGAAAATTAAAGGCTAAAAATTTAAAACAAAACAAGACAAAATGAAAAGCAGAAAGAAGGTGTAATTCATTTTACAGGTATTTAAAAATAGCATAAAGCTACAATAATTAAAATTTTGATCTAACAAATTAGAGACACTGATAAAGCTGAACATATGCTTAGAAACTAAGATACCCAAATGAGAATTTCATATGCAATAAAATAGTATCAAGATCAGGGGATAAAGACAGAATTGTTTGATAAATGGTGCTGGATAATCAGTTGATGATTTAGAAAAATATAGTTAGAATCTCACCTCTCAACATGAATCAAAATAAACTAAAGATGGATAAAGGGCTTAACTTGATACAAAAAACAACATTAAAGCATTTTAAATATAGTTAAGTAAAATCAGAGAACATTTCCCAGAATAAAGGCAGTGAGGAAACCTAAAGAAAAGTACAGGTCAAGAACCTAAAAATTATTCTCTATATACATAAACAGATTTAAGCTAAATAAAACTGCCACAAACCTGGTAAAAATTCTATATAAAACACATAATAACTCATATAAACCAATGAACAAAACAGTAAACTCAAATGCAAGTACTCAACTGATTTAAACAATTTACGTAAGAAAATATATAAAAAGCTAACAAACGTACTGAAAAACCTCAACTTCAGTAGTAATTAAAGAAAGAAAAGTTAAAAAGGAAAAAATTTCCGCCTAAGCATTTGTCAAAGTTTTATGTAAAATGAGAATTCTCAGTGTTGGCCAGGGTGCTGCAGAAAAGCCATCTTTAATCACTGCCAGAAAAAGCGTGCCTTGGTGGAATTCCTCAGAAACACAACACAGTAGGAACTATTGGGATCTTTACAAATCACTGGCCCAGGAAAGAGGCAGGCACGGTGGCATATGTTTTTAGGCTGAGCAACTCCACAGGCTGAGGCAGGAGGATCCTTTGAGGCCAGAAGTTTGAGACCAGCCTCGACAACATAGCAAGACCTAGTTGTAAGTTAAAAATATCAACATTGGGAAAATAAGCAAATAGAGTAGAATAGTTTACAACCATTAAAATAGTATTTTGGAGGAATAGTTCATTATATGAGAAAATTCTAATAAGGTAAAAAAGTAGAATATAAAACTAAATAAACACTTTGACACAATTTGGTAAAAAGTAGAGTATTAGATTAAAAAAGGAACAAAAGAGAGAGGGAAGAAAAGAAGCAACAAAGAGAAGGAGAAGGCAAGGGGAGAGAGGATAGAAGAAAAGAAAAGAACAGCAACAACAAAAAGATGTCTAGGTGGAGAACAATCCAAATGTCCCAGTGATTATTTCTGTCTGTGGTGAGATGTCCTACTATTTTTTAATTTTCCTCTGTAGCCTTCTATATGTTTGCAAATTCTCTAATGTGACCATTTATTATTTTTATAACTAAGAAAAACATAGTCATTTTTAAAGGACAATTAAGGGTAAAAAAATCCATCATGCTGCATCCCTTTCAGTCCAAAAAAGAATTGGACACTGAGACAGGGGGAGTTAAAATAATGAGAGTTTGGCTATATTCCCAGGATGCCAAAGCAATGGGTTAGCTTAATTAACTTGGGGAGAAAAGTCAGTCAATGACATTTGAAATAGTCACCAAAAAGACTCAAAAGTTCACACTGGCATATTAGAGACGCACCACTGAGTGAAGTGAAGTAAAAGTTGATGATGCCGTGTCACTGATATTTCTAGAAATGGTCTAAAAGCTAACAGAGTTATTTCCTTGGTCCTTCCTATCCTTACAGGGATAGGGAACTTCTAGGATGGTCCTGATATGTTTTTGCTCCTGTAGGAACAAAGCTCTCCCCATCTGTCCTCCACATACCCAAAACACAACATTCTTAGTTTTTCTTCCTGTTCATAACTAGTAAGTATAAAACAATTGCAGTGGAATTACTTCACTCATTTTTTAAACACTTTTTTTTGAAACACTCATTTTTCCTAGGGTGAGTTTTTGAGCTTGAAGATATTCCAATCTTATTTGTCTTTCTTCACATCTCCACTGTCTTTAGCCTGCTTATTAGCACTTCTATTTAAATGTTAAGGGAAAAGAAACTTGAACTGATTATTTTTTGCTTCTCTGCTAAAATCTGCATTTTGAAAAAGAGGTTAACAAAGATGCTGCAGCGGGGTTTTAGGAATTCTCTTTGCAAAAATATAAGATGTTGTAAAGAATGGAGTGTAGAGGCTGAGTCTAACTAAATGCACTACAACTTGCAGATCAAGTTGTATGTATCCTGAAGCAGTGGCTTAACAAATAAAAAGTTGTTGGTGGAACTGTTTCTTTTATCCATGTTATTCATTTTTTCCATAAGGGGATTTAGACATAGAAGGTGATTAGAATGCATGATAGCACAAATCACATCTGCCAAATGATAAACTCTAGCCACCTTTATGAAATATTTTCCTAGTAAGCCACTTAAGTTCACAGAACAAAAAAGCTTTTCTTCTTTAATAAGTTAAAAAAAAACTGCTTTGTATATTAATAAACGCACACGTCACTAGGATAAAAAAATAAAACTCGTGGTGACACCTGGATCGTTTTACAAATATTTTTACTAGTTACCTTTTTTTTGTACTCTATTAAGCTATAATCGGAATTGTTACTATCTGTTATTAAGAGACTATATTATGGTTTGTCCTCAGCCAAATGGCATGTTTTTAACTCTTACAAAATCCACAGTAATGTTAGGTATTTACCAATCTTAAAGAGCATATCCCTATTTTTAAATCTAAACCTGTTTTAACTTCTATCACTTAAATAAAACAGACATTGAATTGTTTGCTATTTTACAAATGCTGTTATCCCTTTTGGCCTAGATATGGTTGTGTTTGAAGGATTTAAGGAAGAGTACCATAAGCGTAGATCTTCAGCTGACTTTTGCTTTTCTGCAATCTTAGGACTGAGGTTAAGAAGGAGGTAGTATCAGAGCTGGAATACTTTCTTGAGTTATTAATTTTTAAATTTCACATTCAAAAGAAATGGCAGTGACCTCAGCACAGATCATTTCTTTTGACAGAACGGAAAGGGGAAGAAACTCATAAATATTTTCGAAACCTCCCCTGTATGGCACACCGTGACTGGTGATCAATGGATCCTCATGCTTTGATATGTTACAGCGGGAACTTTCAGAAATGACTTACTGGGTTGTACATCTGATTGAACAACTGCTCAGCTTGCTACATTGCAAAGTTGGGGAGGCATTGAGGCACAGACAAGGAAAGAAGGAAAGATCCAGAAAAACAGCATTAGCTCAACAAATCCAGTGCATTCGCACAGACGAGTTGGTTGTTAAAAAAGAAGAAATTTCAGTTTCTAAACATTCCACAGTGAAAGTGAGATGCTCTAGGGAAATACAAATGTTGACTTTGGCTCCTAGAAAAGAATAGCTGGAATAAGAAATTTAAGGTTTGTGTTACTTTCCCTTTCTCAAGTTAAATAACCCATGAAATAAAGAAAGCTGTCCACTTTTGATGATACATGAAGTGCTGGCCTCCAGCAATGAATCAGAAGAAGTACTTTTAGCCAAGTCTGCAATTTATTACCTGAACTTCAAAGATGGTAATAACAAAAGATTAATTAAATCTTATCATTGAATTTATTGCTCTTCTTTTATATTAACACAAGCCTGAATTTTCTATTCAGTCTATCTTCAGAAAAATACAGATTAGCAAACAGCAGGTTAGCAATAGCAAAATATCAGTAGGTAAGACTTTATCGGATTTACTTAAACTAAACGGAAAAAGAAAAAAATTAAATCAGCAGAACCAAAATACAGTATTATTCATCGCCTATTACCAGTTTCTACTGCTGTCTCAGAATTAGTAGAAAATATAATTTTCAAAGGTATTCTATTATGTTCCAAGTGCTTTAGAATCTATAATGTTCTCATCTATTTTGTGTTAAAGATTTAAATGTTTGTAGATTTAAATGTACTGAATATTATTGTAAATAGCACTCTCAAGTTATATTTTCTAAATACCTGCACTGTTAATCTGGGGCTCAATGTCAAGGTGTACAAGGTGAAATACTGTAGAAACTGTTACTTTGCTTTAAGCTAAGCCACAATTTTTAGGAGCCTGAATTACTTTTTCCTTCAACTTGGATGAAGTAAATGACAATGTTATTTATCATGGTTTAAAGAAAGTCCCTCCTCAAGTATAATATTAATTGAAAAATTACTAAAGAGTATAAGTCATAATATTTTGAATTGTTATTGCTTCTCAATTGATTTCTAGTCACATAGGTAAATTTACTCCCCCATTTTGAACTTCAAATACTCTTTTGAAAGGCAAAATGATCCACATGTCAATTATCAGTTTCTTCTCGAAATGCACTTAATTATAAAGCACACTCATAATTTGCAATTATGCATTACTTGGTTAATATCATTTCATTAGCTTCACTAATATCCGTAAAAATTTCCTTACATATGAAAATTTATAAAAGGTGGGACGGAATGTATAAGGGAGTTAGTTCCTTTTCTGCCTATAACCTTTCATCACAAAGTATTGAAGACATCTTAAATTAACACAGTATAATAAAGGGTTAAAGTAATTATGTGTGTGAATGTTCTTCACACACTTTTATGTAAAAACTCCCTTTACCAATGTGAAGCATTGTTTATAAGACAAAAATAACTTTAAATCACCGTTTGGATTTCATTGCCACTAGCAGACAAGGTTTCTGTTCAACTACACATATCTACAATGTTGTATAGACTTTATGGCAAAACTACCTGGATACTCACAAACCTTGAGCAAAATTCCACTGGGAATTTTTGGTGTATTTATGACATAATAAAACTATTATGTTTTCAGCTTTCATTTAGTAAACCTTTATATTTTATTCACAAGTCACGTACCCTTTTATTTAAAAGGAGGCCCAGACACACTTAAGCTTTTATAGCTGCTTATTTTTCCATGAGTAAATGATGTGTTTATATGTATATTCACATACTGTTGGCTTATATTTTCAAATATTTCATGTAGATCTCAATTTTTTTAAGGTGATGGGTATTTGAGGTTTTTACAGAACTATTTATTAGCAGAAATTAAAGACTACTGAAAAAATATTTTAAACTTTTGAATTTAGTTAATGCTAGACAGCCAAAAATAACAAAACAGCATCTGTAGGTCAGACATAAAAATATTTAAATTATAATTAGCCTATTTAAACCCACTGCACTATGCATGTAGAAGATAGCGTATAAGCAAAGATTATGTATACATTTAGAAATAAGTTATCTTTTGATAAATTAAATAGGTCATTTACAGCAAGACAACCATATTTGTTACTTTAATTCTAGTGACTTTGTAGAATGTTAAAATGCTGTCAGGAATAATGCTAAAATGTTTACAGGATTTGGTCTGTGAATTTCCGTATGTGGTATCTACCTGCGAGTCAAAGGAAACCACACACTCTGAGTGATCTCAGAAACAAGCCACAGCTATGTTGAAAGAAACTATATTGAATTGTATAAATGTTGATTTATTAAACTAGTCATTACATGAAAACTATAAGCATCAATATGTGAATCTCTTCCTTTTAATTACTAGATTTCAAATTTCTATAGATGCCTTACATTAAAAAAGAGGGTGTTGAGCATGTACCTGCAGAAATAATAAATGGGATCTCCTGATTTCTATAACAACAGCTCATCAGAGTGGATGGAGGGCATCTTTCATGCCCAGGTCTATTAGAAGCCATCTTTCTTCTGGACTCAGCACACTGTGACTAAGGTATAATAGAGTAGAGGATGGTCATAAGGAGCCAATGAACTTCTCTTTCACAAATCTAGCTGAGAGCCTGCCTTATGATCACAAAACTTTATTAAATAAAAAATATTTTTCATAAGTTCATCTCTTAATATGCATATCATAGATAACATTTTGTAGATCACATTTATATATGTCAAGAATATATGTCATATACCCAATACGTGATAGCCAAGTCAATATCCATTTAAACACCCTCAAATGGGCAATTTAAATTCTTTTATTTATTGTTCAAGATTTCTGCTTAACTAAATATTGCTTGAAATAAGTGAGATGATGAGTGGATTGGGAAATAGCTTTTGCAATGTAGAGATTTTCTTGCTGTTTTGTTATTAAAGGATTTGTGTAGTTATCTTTTTCTGTATCAGCAAGTAGACTTTCTTAGTGTGAAATTTCTCATGATAATTGCCTTAAAAAATCTCTGTAAAGTGAGCATCATATACTAACATTTCAGTTATATATTGCATCACACAAAATAGCATATTAAATTTTAAGATATCCAGAGTAATTCCTTCACAGATATGTGATTCCTTCACATCCTTGACCATCCATGTCATATATTTTCATAACTTTAGCCAATAAATCCCTATCCCAGGGTGCTATGAATTATAGTCACATTTTATTATATACTTTGTTTGACTGTTTAGATTCTTATCTTCTCTTTTGAATAAGTTTATGAGTTGTCAAAGGGAAACAAAATGCTTAAACTCATAATGTTATGAGTTTTATGTGAACAATGAGTGCAGACGTACCAAACAACACAGGAAGAAAGTCAAAGGAACAATGCATGACTGGAAATGCACTCCACAAAAATGTCCTGGTCAGAGAAAACATGTTAATGCTGCCATGTAAATATCCTGTTTCTTTCCCAAAGCCTTCTATCTACAACAAGCTTTCTTAGACAGTAAGTCCATTTTGGTCAATTATAGTCATTCTATAGAGATGCCATGGACTTGACTATTTTGGTGAACTTCTAGAAATTTAACAATGTCAGAAAAGCTTTTGCAAAGTTACAAAACCACCTACATCTGAAAGTAGCAAAAGTTTATTAACATCTAGTGTGGCTTCTGGATTCTGTGATTTGTTGAAAACACTTCTATTTTTCTTTGTTGATAGCTGCGATTTGCCCAGAGAGTAATGGCTGGTTTTTATAATATTTTTAACTTCTGTTACTATTTTCATCTACTTTTCAAGTTTTCCTTAAACAGGAAACCTAAGATAATTTTTCAGGTTCACAGACAGATTTGATAGACTTCTTAGCAATAAAGTTAAGAGTATTTAATTAATTCTTTTATCAGCAGACAGCAACAGATAAGGGATTTGTTTCTTTTTAAAAATACCTCTTCCTTTTCCATTTTATAAATTCATTTTAAAATGAGCATGATTTTTTTCTTAGACTTCACTTACCTTTTTTAACTGTGCTTCCAATTTGCTACATTCCTCTTTCTTTTGTTCAATGGCTATTTCTAGAGATTTTAATTTGGAATCCCTTTTCAGTCCTGCAGAGGCTAATGAAGATGCATGTTCTTTGAGGTCAATTAAACTAGACTGAAAGAAAAAGATTTTGAGTCAGTAAAACACTCAAATTTCTACTAGCAATGCCTTCAATTTGAACACATTGATTCTATACACAGCAGTAAAGCATGCAGTAGACAGAAAGGGTAAATATAATCTTACTAAGGTAACAATAGTCACCTCTGGCCAGGAAATTAAAGTTGGCCAGCTTACAGAATGAGCAGGATCTAATTGCCATAGAATCAAATGTGACCAAATGTTGTGGTCAGTAAATGCATGTTTCATGTCTCAAAGTCATGCTAATGATGTAAGTCCCAAGGTGGTCTTTACATGTCATAGCAAAACAGACACCCTGAACCTTCCATTTACATTTATTGCTGTCAGACCATGCAGAGTCTGAGACAAATCTGAAAGAAAATACTGAATTTAATGCTTCCCCTCCCAATAGTAAGTCAAATAGTTAAAAAGCCTCCTATTACATTTTTATCAAATCGCATTTCTCTAACAGAGAAATGATCAATGGTTTTTCAAACATCTTCCAGAAAAATCAAACATAAAATTATTTTAAAATTTAGAGTAAACTTTATAGTCCGGATTTGATAGATACAACGAATCTTTCCAACTCAGACATAGGGTTGCCTAAATTGCTCCAGTCATTAATCATGTCCAGAAATTAACAGGTTCCACATATACTCTGAATTCAAAAAACTAAAGAAATACTTGCATATATCACTGAACATAACTTTGCAACCTAAAAGAGCAATGTTTGTCATCAACTATGAAATAGCAACATCAAACTATGTGACTGAGATGTACAAGTTTTACCCCAAAACAGACTCCAGGTATTTCCTTCTTACTCATTTGCATTGCCTAGGAAGATACTAAACAGACACTGGTCTCTCTGTAAACAATGCTACCTAATAATTTATCCTGGATTGTTTCATGGGCACTGGAATGATCTTGATGATAAAAGTCACCATTATCAGCAAGGTGCTTCTAAACCCTCTGAGGAACAGGTGACCCATTTTCATTTTTCACATCAGGAAACTGAGGCTCACAACAGCCGAGCATCTTGTCAAAGATCACTTAGCTGGTAAAGGCAGATACAGGTCTCAAACCCAGGTCTACAATTCCAATTTCAATGTCCTTTGTCGTATCATTCCCACAGAAATAACAAACGACATTATAATCCAGTCATTTTGTCACGGTGAAGATGTATCATCACTCCAATCAAATTATAAGCTCCCAATTAAATTATAAGCTGACAGCAACTGCATATGGTTTTTCTTTATAAATTTTAAACTGCCAGATGCAATAGCCAGTTTTAGTCAACTTGACTAGGCTCTAGTCTCCAATTATTAATGTAGAAGTTGCTAATAGAAGGCATTTTGTAAACATGAGTAACATCTACCATCAGTTGACTTTAAGTGAAGGAGATTATCCTCAGTACTCTGGGTGGGCCTGATCCCATCAATTGAAAGGCCTGTGAGCAGAACTCAGGTTTCCCTGAGGAAGAACAAATTCCACCTATTGGCTGCAGTGTCAGCTTCTGTCTGAGATTCTCCAGTCCGCTTTTGCTGATGATCTGTTCTGTGAGTTTTGAACTTGCCTAGCCGCCATAACTGTGTAAGCCAATTCCTTATGATAAGGTTCTTAATCTGTTGAAAATGTTTAACGTGATTCTGTTTTTCTGGCAGAACCCTGACTGACACATCCAGCCCAGTGTCAAGCACATTATGCAGAAACAATAAATGTTTACCAAAATGCCTATTTGAAAGTCATGCAATTTGAGGATTATTTACAAAACTACTTTCATTTATGGCTTATACTTCACATCATCAAGATCTCTTTTCATTCAAAATATATACATTGATTTTAAGATACAAACTGACAAGTAACACTTCCAACGGGTGAAGAATGCTACAAACAAAGTCAAAGCTTCCATGTTTTCTGTCAATACAAACTACAGTCATCACAGATCCTCCAACTCAGAATCAGCAGTGGAAGAGTAGGAAGAAAACTTCATTCTTTATTTTCATAACAAAGAAATAAGCTTTCTTAAAAAAAAGTAGATTTAAATTTTAAGAAATATGGATTTTGTTTCTGGGTTTCCTTGAAACTCCTCTTACTCATCGATTCTTTTCCTTCTTTATCTAGATTCCTAATTTGTTTGGGATTTTAATTTGGGTGGAATTATCAGTACCCTGAGAGTGAGGAAATACTGTGGAGCCAGGAGACAGACAACTGCGCTGTGGTACCATCCAGCAGGGTGAAAGGTCTAAGACAGCTCTAAAGAAGACGGACAGTTACAGTAGACAAAGTAAGTGTGAAGGGGCCAATTGCAGGCAATCTCCACATATCTCAGAGTTATGTGGATTAAATAAAATCATGTGTAATTACTGTTTCTCATGCTTCTCCACCAAACTATCCCCAAGAAAACTGAGAGGGTTATAGGGATCCCTTGAAGAATGGCGGAATAGCCCAAAGGCATCCTCTTCATAACCCCCAAACAAGAATTTCTTTAAAGTATAAAATTTTACTTTAAAAACACAGGTGGCATTTATACTTTGTATTCATGTTTGCCATGGTATAAAAACATAGCTCTAAATTATTTACCATAATGTAAAAATAATAGGCCAGAAGAACAGCAACATTTAAGCTCTACCTTGGGGCTCAGCATGGTACCACATCTCCTAATCGGAGGGTATTACCGATGAATGTAAAGCACTCAACACAAGGAATAGTACATAGGAGATATCAGTAAAGTAGAGTTATTATCATTATCATCAATGCTGCTGCTATCTCAAGCAAAGGATCATGGGACTGCAAAAAATATAGAATCCTCTAATCCATGCAAATATAGTAAGACATAAAGAAAAGTTTCAAGGAGCTACATTGTATATGGTTAGCAAAACAGAGAAGATAGACATGGAGCATTACAGAAGAAGAAAGTTACAAAAATGTTTTTTTCCTTTGAATTCAGGCATCTTTACAAAAGAAAGATTATCAAATTCTCCAAGTCTTCATACAGTGCCTCCAAGTAAGTCTTTAGTCTCTTGCAGCTGCATTGAATATGAGTTTATGAGGACTATCAGTGAGGTTCATTTGTTTCTCCAGACTCACCTCTTTTTCAGTCAGTTCAGCTTGTAAAGCATTGACCTTCTCTTTCAGGTCTTTGTTCTCTTTTCGGAAGGATTCTATCTCTTCTAGTCTTTCCCGATCATCTCTTTCTCGCTGTTCTTTCAAGCGCTCAATTATTCTCTCCTGTAAGGCAATTAACAATAAAGAAGAGGTAGGATCCCATCAGTGTATATGCCAAAGCATACTGCAAAAGAAAATAAGAGGCAGTATATCTAAGGAATGCTCTATGGGAATCAATGCATACAAGAAACTCAAAATTGGATTCACGGGGAGAGGCTATGCATAACAGCACATGGGAAAGACAACCAATACAGCTTCTAACTTGTTAACAAAAGTTAACACCACAGGGTTGCAAAGGATCTTAATGTTCAAGTTCTGTGGCTGCTTGTGGTTCATGGTAGTATCCAGCAAATTTCTAGAACAGTTCTAGAAGGGGGAGCTTCAGACACCGAGACTCCAGACCTGCCATAGCCTCGCACAGGAAAGGGGAAGAAGCAGAACATGCCTCTTGGCTCAGCCCTCTTTGCTTAGCCTCTCCATTTGGTGTCAAAGAGCCCTCACTGTTTCCGAAGGCTGTTCTCTGGCTAGACTGGATTGAAGTGGGGCAGGACCCAAACCCTCCAGGTCTTAGAGCTGGTCTCATTGTGAGAGCTTGAGACAAAATAAAGGATCAGCCCTCTGTGTATGTGATTTTTCAGTGTGTCTGAGGATGTTGACTTTTCTGTTTTTTCAATGGTTTCTTGATAGTCAGTAGAGACTCCAAAATACTGGGTGAGTGTGAACAAAGTTCAGCAGCAGCTTTCTTTTACTGAGGGCTTACTACATATAAAGGTGCTGTGAAGTTCTCTCCTCTTAAGTCCTCATCACAAGCGCAAGGGCAGAACCAGTATTCTTGACGACAGTGTAGAGGGTAGAGGTGAGGAAACCCAGAGCTCCGAGATGCAAGGTGGCCCAGGTCATAAACAGAAGGCTTCCCACATCCCGGGTTCTCTGACAGTCAGCCACTGTCAGAGACCACACTGCCACAAACATATACCTGGAGCCATTTGAGGAGGTCTGCCTTTGATTTTCACACTGAAATGAAAACACTGCTTTCTAGACATGTTTCCAAAAATAGGAAATCTGTCTGATATCAGAGTAAGATTCTTAGGACACACACACACACACACACACACACACACACACACACGAAAATTCCATCTGTGTAAAGCTTGAGTTAGATTTTTGAAATTATACTACACATAACTGAACTTCCTTTCAGATGGCCATGTTAAAAAATACTGGTACAACTGTGCCCAAGGATCCTGATACTATTTTTCATACTCTTATGATTGCAGAGTACGAGATACTGCCTGATAAATAAGACAATTGTAAAATAGTATTTAAGGCATAGGGAAGTTAGTCTGAACACTTAGCTTGTGACTTCAGATCCCCTGAGGAAGCAACCGTTCTACCCCACTGACAATAAATTTATGTATCTAATGCTTTGGGGCTGGGGGACAGCATATCATTACTGTTTGCCAATTATTTAAAAACACTTTAAATGAAATATATTATTATAACAGTGGAGGCAGAAATATAACAAATGTATCTATTAATTGCCTATATTTGTTTCTTCTTGATCCCAGACCTAGTTTACCTACCTGTGACAATGGTGAGTAGATGATTATGTGATCTACAAGAAAAGGCAATGACCACAGTACATGGTCAATGTCTCAAGGGTTTTAATGATTTCAGCAACTAAGCCCTTGTTGCCTTTTCCCTACTCTACAACTGATTACCAGGCCAACTCTCAGTCCCATCACTTCCAGTACATGGCTGTTGGAGTGACATTTCTAAAGCTCCAAAATGACCTGTCATCTCACTATTTGGAAACCTTCCCAGGAATCCCTCTGGCTGGATCACGTGTCATTTATTCCCACTCAGCAGACTTCACGTGGTTTCATTGCATGATCATCCTCCTGGCCCCGCTTTCCAGAGGGCAGCACTAAAATCCTATGTGTCTTTCTGACCTCACAGCTGGGCAAATCATTCAGCATAAAACAAGTAATTAAAAGAGCTGAAGGAAGGAAGGAGAACTCAAATTAGGGATCATCTTGGCTTCAAAGAAAAGGTAATAAAATTAAGCAGGCATGTTAACAGCCAGAAGGCGTCAGAATTCTTTGGAAAGCAGGTTGATTTGCTCTAAGCGCTTGTACTATTGACTGGGCATTGATGACAAAAAAAATCAACAAGCACTATAATGTTTTTAAGTGTTATTGATGATTCAATACTACAAAATATTTCTCTGTCAATCACAAAACTAATTTAACTGTCAACTGCGCAGGGCCAGATGTCAAAAACATGTGTTAAAAGCCCCTAATATGCCATGATCTACTTGATTAACAACTAACTTGCAGAAATTCCAACAATGTGTTCTTGTTTTAGTCTTATTTGCATTGGCAAGCATTCCTTATGCACTCATCTGGCTCTGCACAGGTCTAATCTATTTGTGCTTTATCACAGGGTGGGAACTAAAGTGCAGTGGACTCCAGCTCCGCTATCTGGCTTTCTCAACTACTTATCTGCTGTGTGGCTACAGCAAGGCTTGGCGAGACCAGCTTTATAAATACAGTGGGTTCCGTCTCTTGAGCTTCTGTGTGTCAATCCTAGAATATTCAATCTTAACTCACGGAGAGGCATTATTCTTTGCACACTCTTAATAGTTGAATAAGTTCCTGGAAATTAAAAGGAATAACATACTCCCTAGGATGCCATAATCCAGGGGAAATGGTGAATACTGCCTGATGGATTCTTTTCATCAGCCAAAAGACAGCAAATAATTAAATGTAATTAAAAATCCATGAGTTTTTATTAATCATTTTGTTGTTTCACAGCATGCCTTGTTACAGGGGGAATCTGTGCAATTAAATGTGGATAAAAAGTAAATCTGTGAGGAAAATTCCATTTAAAAGAGATTGTGATGTTGCCAACATCAAAAAGACCTCAAAAGAGTTTTAGTCTTATTCTATCACCTGTGAGCTAGGTGGCCTTGGGACAGTCCAGAGGAGGCAGCAAAATCTCAACCAAGGACTAGCTTAGACAGGGTGAAAATGGCTTCCAGGAGTAGTGGGTTGAGAAGTTAGCATGTGTCATGATTAATTAATAATGGCTCTCTAGGCCCAGAAATAGGGAATGATGCTGCACATGTCAACATTTTTATTTCTGGGCAAGTTATTTTTCTCGTTGAACCCATTTTCCATCTTAAAATGGAAGTGAATACATTCAGTGTTTCTCAAATTGTGGCCTTCTGACCACTTGGATCAGAACCCTTCAGTATGTTTAAAAATCTTAGGTTCCTGGGCTCCACAGCAGAACAGCTGAATCAGAATCTCTAAGAAATAGGGCCCAGGAAACTGTGTTTTAAGTAGCTTACTAGATAATATTATTTGGATGCACCCAAAGGTTTGATGCACACTGGAATACTTAAAATAAATCTTCTATTCTTTGTTCTATGATAGAGAACCTTGCCAGTTCCTATCAACTGTTTTATCTGTGCTTTTCAAATACACTAGCATTCTAATTTTGGCACCTTTAAAAGATTCCCACCAAATCAATTGCTCTATGTTTCCTTTTATTCTTCATTGCTGTAAAAAGTTAAAAATCAGATGCAAACAGAGTTTGAAATAAATGGCTCACAAAGCTGGTGTATAGAGCTCTTTTGTCTGACTTGAGCATCATAATTTTTTAAAATCTGAACTTGAATGTTTTGAAACAGATCAAGGACCTGAAGCTTACCATAGTCACCAGTAGTCCCTACTACATTTCAGCAAAGCCACATCCCTCATTTCCATTCCCTGCCTGGCCTTTCTATTCATCTAAGTTCTCAATTCCTCATCTAATGTCCAATTCAGATGCCATAAGCCTGAGATTGCAGATTGGCAAACGGAGTAATTCTTTGTCAAGAGAGTTTAGGACAGCATGAAACTTAGAGGTCAGCTAATATAAATGTGCATTGTGAAGTTGAGGTATTGAGTCTCTGAGAGAAGAGCCTTGCCCAAGTGATGCAACTATCAAGCAGTAAAGACAATCCAAGGTGGCCAGACTCCCACAGACCTCAGCTTCCCTTCCCGGACACCCCCTCAGCCTCAAAGGAAGTCCTCAAATAAAGGGAGTAGTTTCAGATTTGGGAATTATTTTGGGATTTAAGCTAGAATAAATCAAATCTTAATAGGGTCCAGAAAAAAAATAATAAAATCCTGCCGAGAATTCATGACATGAAAAATTATATGGTATGTGTTTACTTCTGTGAATTTTAAGAAAGAAATCAAGAAGTAGACATGGGCTGATAACATATAACCCAAACATGCTAAATGAACACATAAGCATTAATAGTTTTTGAACATCCCCTCATTCTAATATCACAAATAAAATTACCACAAAGAGCCCTGGAAATAAATTATTGAAAGTTGAAAAGAGGATATATTTCTCCCAAAAATTATCTTATTAAATATTCTTATACGTTTTCAAGTAAAACCTTATAATTCGTATAATTTAATTCTGAAGTTATCTTTCAATTTTTTAGATTATTACAGGATTTATAACTTTGTTAACCAGCAACTATTTCTCTTCCATGGATTTATGAGCAAAATTAATTTGGAAACAGATGCTACATATGATGTCAAATAAGGTAACTGAATGTCAAAACATACTTTTTTTCCTTACAAAAGATTCATCTTAAATGTTTGCGCTATTTTATTTTATTTACTTTCTGGGATACATGTGCATGATATGTAGGTTACACAGGTAAACATGTGTTATGGTGGTTTGCTGCACCTATCAACCCATCACCTAGGTATTAAGCCCAGCATGCATTAGCTATTTTTTCGAATGCTCTCCCTCTCCCCACCCCTCCTGACAGCCCCCAGTGCATGTTGTTCCCTTCCCTGTGTCCATGCACTGTTCAGCTCCCACTTATAAGTGAGAACATGTGGTGTCTTGTTTCCTGTTCATACATTAGTTTTCTGAGGTTAATGGCTTCCAGCTTCATCCATGTCCCTGCAAACAACATGATCTCATTCCTTTTTGTGGCTGCATAGAATTCCATGGTATATATGTACCACATTTTCTTTACCCAGTCTATCACTGATAGGCCATTGGGTTGCTTCCATGTCTTTGTTATTGTGAATAGTACTGCAATGAACATATGCATGCATGTATCTTTATAACAGAATAATTTATATTCATTTGGGCTTATACCCAGTAATGGGATTACTGGGTCAAATGTTATTTCTGGTTCTAGGTCTTTGAGAAATTGCCACACTGTCTTTCCACAATGGTTGAACTAATTTACATTCCCACCAATAGTGGAAATGCATTCCTTTTTCTCCACAGCTCACCAGCATCTGTAGTTTCTTGACTTTTTAATAATCGCCATTCTGACCAGCATGAGATGGTGTCTCACTGTGGTTTTGATTTACATTTCTCTAATGATCAGTAATGCTGAGTTCTTTTTCACATGTTTGTTGGCTTCATAAATGTCTTCTTTTGAGAAGTATCTGTTCATATCCTTTGCCTGTTTTTTGATGGAGTTGTTCCTTGTAAATTTGTTTAAGTTCCTTTTAGATTCTGGATATTAGACCTTTGTCAGATGGATAGATTGCAAAAATTTTTCTCCCATTCTGTAGGTTGGTTGCCTGTTCACTCTGATGATAGTTGTTTATTTTGCTGTGCAGAAGCTCTTTAGTTTAATTAGATCCTATTTGTAAAGTTTTGCTTTTGTTGCAATTGCTTTTGACATTTTCATCATGAAATCTTTGCCCGTGACTATATCCTTAAGGGTATTGCCTAGATTTTCTTCTAGAGTTTTTATAGTTGCAGGTTTTACATTTAAATCTTTATAGGTTTTACATTTAAATCTTAAACAATTTTTAATAGGACCATGAAGACTAGCCCTAGAATCTTTTTGTAGCTTCCTTTTGTTCAATAACTTTTTAATTTATTAAAATTAACTCCACAAATATGCTTACCCATCTTTTTGTGGCTTCTATGTTTTTATCATAAAGCCTTGGTTCTCAGACTAGAGTTTACATCACCATGACTTGGGGAACTTGCTATAAGTGCAGATTTCCAGGCCCTATGAGGTTCTGATTTGTAGGTATAGATGGGACCTAACAATATAGACTTTCAACAGGAACTTCCTGGTAGTTCTGAAGTAACAGAAGAGAAACCTTCTTTAGGATACACTGGCTTAGGAAACCCATGGGCATTTAATCTAATTCCCCCATTCATCAAATGGGAAATCTGAGATGCCAAGAGACAGAATTACTTGCCAGGCTCACCCAGTTAATGTCTCCCCAGTTAATTAGTGGCATAGGTGGGACTGGCCTGTAGGTCTCCTTCCAATTACTTCATGACCTCAGAGTTCATAGGCTTTGATAGCAGGGAATATAGGAGATAATGCTATAACTTTAGTAGGGCATCCCTGAGTAAACCCCCTGCAACATCCCATGCATGTACGGCCAAATCCTGCAAAGTGCTACAGCATCAAAAATGATGAGAAAGACGAAGAAAAAGAACATAATAGAGTCTACTCCCACACTTTAAAAGTTAACATTTCTTTTCTTGGTTTCAAGCTAAATTTGAAAATAATGACAAGAACATAGGCCTAAAAACTACACCCGTACATTCCATGTCCAACCAACAAACAAGCCGTCCTTCCTGAGAATTCCTAGAGAACTTTACCTCTACTGCTTGTGGGCACTGGCTCTTTGACACTCAGAAAGTGTTGGAGGAGAGGACAGAGCATATGCAAACTCAACTCCAGGGTATGATACTTACAATAGGTCCCCAGAGAATGAATAAACTCATTTAGAATGAAATGGACTAGAAATCATTTTGAAAGTAAGTAAACATCAGAATGAGCTATTTGCCTACTGGATATTATTTATTAATTAATTATTTTATTTAAATTTATCCTTTTGAATGTAGGTCAGAAAGAAACCTTCAGGATGGCATCCTATCCCCTTCAAAGTAAAAGCCAATTTTTTAAAATCTTGTCTCACGAGGGCCTGTGAAATCTGCCGCCCTTCCTCTCCCCCATCCCCTTGTATTTGCTCTCCCCTCTGCCAGGGCATTCTCCCTCCAGAAGGACTCTGGCTCACTACTCACTTTCCTTGAATGTTACCTTCTCAGCAAGCTTCTACCTGGTCATCCTACTCCGGCCCTCCCTTTACTCCTCCCTGCCTTTTCTTTTATAGAAAATATTACCCTCTAAAATCCTAAGTATGTCACTTTTTTATTAACTGTGTCCCCATCACCTTCATTAGAATCTAAACTCTGGTAAAGCCAGGATTTTCACCGATTTTCTTCTCTGCTGCATTCCAGGGCTCAAAAGAGGGCATGTCATATGGTGGGGACTCACTCAACCAGCATCCCCGATGCTGGTTGGATAATATCAAGCATATTGGATAATATCAAGCATCCCCGATGCTGGTTGTACTGGACATTGGGAATGGCAAGGTAACTCACACATAGGATATGTGTCTTGGGTTTGACATCTAGCAGAGAAAAGAAATTAACCACATTAAAACAGATGAATGAACAATTAGGGGGTTGGGTGGCTAGGGGAGGGATAGTAGGTGGTAGGAGGATTGGCGAGGGATAACATTAGGAAAATAACAAATGTAGATGACGGGGGGATGGACACAGAAAACCACCATGGCACGTGTATACTTATGCAACAAACATGCATGATCTGTACATGTATCCCAGAACATAAAGTATAATACAAAAAAAGTGACATGAACTCTGGGGAGTTTATGGTGTTCCTGAGACATAATGGGGATACCTAGGAGGTGTCCCTAAGGAAATAAAATAACAATAATAATAATAGTGATAACATTATATCTACTATTCTAAACACATTCCTTATTTTCACACATTTTCTCCTCAACATAATCCACTGAGGTTAGTACTATTAGTATCCCCTTTTACAAATGAGGAATCCGAGAGGTTAAGTAATTTGTTCAAAATAGAAAATATCAGACCTAGGATTTGAACCCAGGCAGTCTGGCTCCAAAGTCTATATTCTTGACTACTGCACAATACAACTTCTCATGAAGCTGACCTCTCAGAAGAAGAGAAATTAAATTTGCAGAGAGTAAGGAATATTCTCAGTTGGGGAACAGCAACCGCAAAGAGTCTGAGGCAAGAAGTAGTACAGTACACTTGAAAATCTAGAAGCCTGGCATGGCTAAGGCACAGAGAACCAGGAAAAAGAGAGATGGGGGATGAGGCTGGAAATGAAAGAAAGAATAAGGAAGGGAGCAAGCACACAGAGTGGGGGCTTGCCAGATCAGATAGGAGAAGGAACCCTGGCGGCCAGGTAGAGGATTTCAGTTTGTGTCATCCTAAGTGCAATGGCAAGTTAGTGAAGGTTTTTCTGGAAAGCCGAAGGTGATGTAATCAGATTTGCATTTCAGAAAATGCCCCTGGCTACAGTGTGGCAAGTCCACCGAAGAGGGCTTGGATGGGGAGAACAAGCACCAGGGACAAAAGGTGGTTTAGAAAAAGTAGAAAATCAGGCATATTTAAATGCATTTGGATCAACTTCCCCCAGCTGTATTTCCCCATATCCTGATTCCCTGTTTTGAGTGTACACTCACCTTCTCTGACAGAGCTTCCTCTAGCGTTGCCAGTGCAGTGTCTGTATTACTGGAATCTGTCTGCAAGGACTTCACTCTGTCTTTCAGGTTGGTCAGTTGCTTGTCTTTATCCCTAAGTTGTTCTTGCAAGTTTTCAATCTAAAAATAAAAATAAATACTTTAATGCATATTTGATTACATATCCTGGGCCAAAATTCCTGAAGTGGATCTGTTAAAAAAACAAAACAAAACAAAAAGAACCTGAAATGATAGAACTTGTCAGTATTAAGAGGTTATGCTTTGACTTAGACTCAAGGCCATTTTGATGAAAGCTTCATTTCTTCATGTAGTTCAACTCTGTATTTAAACGGTGAAAGAGAGGAGCAGAGTATCTCCCTCCATACAAAGGTAAGACCTTCTGACACATATGTAAGCACTATTATTTCCATCTATTGCTATCCCTTTTACAAGTCTTTTAAGTCTCAAGTCGATAGACCTAACCTTGGTACACTGAACCAGAGAAATATTATGCAAGATTAATTCATTGATTAAACAGACATTTATGGGGAGCACATTCTGCACCAAGCACCATATCAGTATATGGCAGATCCCTTGCAGTCATTCACTCACTCCTTTATTTCAGTATTAAAGTTTGTGATATGCCAAATGTTGTCAAGTGGCTGTTTCGAAGTAACCACATGAAAAGCCAAGTAGGTTATCACCAGTAGACTGTTAATGGGAAGAAGTTGTGATATAAGTCAAATGTATCAAGTACTAAACACTCCATTTGGCAACTAAGTCATGTGCTGGCAACAAACCAGCCACTTTTATCCGCTATCTGCAGCCTGAAATAAACACACCAAATAGCCAATTATAATGCCTGCCCAGGAGCAGCAGCAAGGACTTTCTCCCAGGCATCGAGGACATTATCATTCATGTTTTTATTCTCTGCTTTCAACCATGTATTTCTTATCTAAGTATTAAAAAAACCCACTATACAAACAATTTATTCATAATAAGGGTTTTTAAATGACAAGGAAAAAAAGCAGTACAACTCTAAGATAAGTCCGTTCAAAATATTTGCATTCTGCACCCAGCTTTCTCAGGGAATCATTCCAAATGCATGTTTCACAATGTATACTCAAACAAATTTTTTGATTACTTGATTCCCTTAGCGTGTATCTGGAATGGCAATCCAACTAATAATAGTAATCCCAGCAGTAACAAGGAGGAGATTATTACAATGGCAACATTTGTGGCAGCAGTAGCAGCCTCAAAAATAGCTCTGGATGCAAAGATGATGGCTCTGCTGAACTTCAGTCTGGAAAACACTGTCTTGGCTAATGTTTTCAATGGCTACAACGGAAACCTGTAAACTCTGTGGCCTAACAAAGATGGAATTTTTTCCTTCTTTCCTTCCTCCCTTCCTTCCAGCCTCCCTCCATCCTTCATTCTATCTTTCCTTCATTCGTCTTTTCTTCTTCTGCCTTGAGATAGACATCTTAGAAACTCAGGTTATAGGTCAAATAATTAACCTTTTCCTTCATCAAAATTTAATGTGATCCCATCCAGCTGCCACTGTGAAGATTCATTGCCAGTCCATGGAAAACACAACAATTCAGAAGGTATAATCATCTCCAGTCAAAACAAAGGCTTCCTCCATTCCAGACAAATGTTCACCCAAAAATACACATGAGTAAGAATATAGATGGTTATATGTCAGAATGATACTGGTTATGTGGAAGAAGCCAGCAGCTGAAAGGACTGACTCTTGGAAAAACTGTATGTTATTACTTTGAATACACCCATGCATATATTTGTGTAAACATGTGTACGCAGATCCATGGTGGTTCCGAGCAAACTGATCATACCCACTGGCCTACCCTGGGAGACAGTGCCCTGGGCATAAGAGAGGGATATCAGCCTTGGGGTAGTAGTAGGTAGCAATTTCAAAGGACTTTGAGCACTGGAAATAGAGGCCAAAGGAAAAATTGGCTGTGCACTTATGTCACAATCTCTGGGGCCTCCTCATATAACCAGAAAGACTAGGAAGTCTGAGGGTCCGGATTCCACTGGCATGCAGGTAGCTGTAAAGAGCTAGAGAAATAATAATGGTGCAGATTGAGGGTCAGGTTCTACTGGCATGCAGGTAGGGCTTAAGAGCCGGAGAAACAGGGATGGTGGAGACTGAGAACACGTGGGTGCTGTATCTATTTACCTCACATCTAAGAACCAAGCAGAAGAGCCAATGATACTGCAGGTGTGACTGACTAACAGGTCTGGAATTAAGCTAGGGATGCACCAATATAAGATGTTTATTGAGCTAGGGATGCACCAATATAAGAAATGCTGCACAAGGATCACCAAGAATGATTCTTAAGAGAAAAAAAAAAGGTGCAGAACAGTGTCCAGCTTATAATCTCTTGCATAAATTTGGAAACATCTATAAATAGATAAATATATCTGGGAAAAAAATCACAAGAAATTTTAACCTTTGTGGGGTAAGGTCTAGGGGGCAGAAGGAAGAGGGAGCTTCTGGTTTTCATCTTTGTACATTTGTATAGATTTCTGCTTGAATTTTCTAACCATGTGGGTTTTATTATTTTTAAATGTCAATCAGGGTTATCCAACTGGAAAAATTATGAGTCACTTTTCATTTATATTTATATAAACATTATACACATTAGAAAATAATAATTTAATAAATAACACAAATGCCTACTTAACACTAAATTGTACCAAGTTACCAATACAGATTGTTGGTGTATTTATTTTTTCAATGGGATCTAAATATTTATTTTATTTTTATTTTAGGTTTGGGAGTACATGTGAAGGTTTGTTACATAAATAAACACGTGTCACAGGGGATGGTTGTACATAACATTACATTGCCTAGGTATCAAGCCCAGTACTCAGTAGTTATCTTCTCTGCTCCTCTCCCTCCTCCCACCCTCCCCACTCAAGTGGACCCTATATCTGTTGTTTCCTACTTTGTGTTCATAAGTTCTTATCATTTAGCTCACTTATGAGTGAGAACATGTGGTATTTGGTTTTCTGTTCCTGCATTAGCTTGATAAGGATAATAGCCTCCAGCTCCATCCATGTTCCCTGCAAAAGACATGATCTCATTCTTTTTTTATGGCTACGTAATGTTCCATGGTCTACATGTACCACTTTTCTTTATCCAGTCTGTCACTGATGGGCATTTAGGTTGGTTCTATGGCTTTGCTACTGTGAACAGTGCTGCAACAAACATTCACATACTGTATTTATGGAAGAATGTTTTATATTCCTCTGGGTATATATCCAATAATGAGATGTTGGTATATTTAAACCATGGCCTATTATGCAAGTATTTGAAGTCCTGTTTGCATAGCATTGCTAACTAAGTAAAAATGGTAGAATCTTTAAAAAGCAGAATGTAAAACAGTATGGCACTGATTTTATAAAAAGAAAAAGTTATTGCATACAACAACTATATATATATATATATATATATTCCACTAAATAAATATATATATATATTCCACTAAAATGTTTTATTTGGCAATGAGGTGACTAATAATTTTACTTCTCCTCTTCATGCTTTTCTGCATTTGCCAATACATTTTCATTGAGTGTAAACAGAATAAAATAATATTTTAAAACCAAATACAAAATATCAGAATGGTTCTTTGAGTTTTAAACAGTAAGTTTTTGCTTTTTAAAAGGACTCTTTACAGGAAAAAAGAAATCCTTTAATACTCCAAAGATGACTGAATTCTTAAAATTTAAATTTAAAAGACTGTAGAGAATATAAAATTCTGTATCTTTTTAAAAAAGTTTTCTCATGTTTACAAATTGTTATGACATTTTTATGAAATATGTTGGGAACCTTTTCTTCAAAGGGCAAGGTTGTGCAAGGTTCAAATAGCAGAATTAGAAAAATAAGCAAATTGTAAACAAAGATTAGGATAGGAAGCTTTTGGGGTGGAAAGGGAAGGGTTTTTTTTTTTTTTTAAGAAATTTTATATTGCAGAAATGGACTCCACCTTAGCAATACAGACAACAAAGTATGAGATGGGCCTGAGCACAAGGGAGCTAGAGAGGACCCCTGCCCTTGCCTTTGACCTGAGCTGCCTTCTGGTCATGGCTGGGCAGATTCAGAAGAAGCCAGTACTCCTGGAGCAATAGCTGTGCCTTCTGTGGCAGAACCCTGGAGAGGAAGTAAGAGAGAAGAGCTCAGACCCTGGAGGTCATCTGACAACCCTAATCCTAATGCCTTTGCTGACTTCTGAAGCTCTGCCCAAGAATTAATGGGGTCCTTAACACTGGGCTTGCCAAGCCTGAGATGGGTCAATGTTCAGCAGGGGAGCTTTGTTGTGAATTTCACACAAGTGTAGTCCTCAGCACAAATGGAGCCACTGACTAACAGCTACAGCCTCCTTGACTCCATATTTTCTCCTCCTTCTATTTGGTCTCCATGCTGCAGCCAAAGGTGACCTTCCCAACATGCAGATCTAACTGTATGACTTCCTTCCTTAGAACCCTTCAATGGCTCCTCATTGCCCCCCAATAAAGTCCAAACTCGCTAACACATGAGGCCCTCCAAGGGATGATCCATGTGATCTTCTACCATCCCTCCGCCAAGCGCTGGTACTGTCAAATCACTAACGCTGTTCCCCAGTGCCAGGATATCCTTATATCTTTCCCATCTTTGCCTATCTACCTCCTCTTCTTGAAGCCCTCTTTGCACTCCAACTTTTCACCTATTCAAGTTCTACTCGAACCTTTAGATATCAGCATACTCTTGCCTCCTTCAGGACTCCTCCTCCAACCCCTCAAACAAGGTTAAGTCCCCTAATCTGCATTTTTCATACACTATTAAAATTGCTTCCTTATTTATGTCCACAACTAGGCTGTGAGCTCAATGAAGACCAAGAGTGCTGCTCTACTCACTGCTGTATCTCTAGCTGCAGCACCCAGTTGTTGGCAATACCACTTATTAGCAGGAAGGAAGGAAGGAAGGAAAGAAGGAAGGGAGGGAGGGAGGGAGGGAAGGAGGGAAGGAAGCAGGCTAAACAAAGTGGCTTGTGTAAAAGGAAGAGGCTAGAGTAGGTGATGGTTGAGTCCCTTCAGTTCTAGAATTAATAAAAGGTGTTGGAGGTCTATATACAGCT